CCTCTTAAATCTGTCTCCCCACTTCATGTTTCCAAAGCCTTAGTTGATGACCGCAGATTTCTTACTTGGGTAACTGCTTCAGCCTCCTACCTCGTCTCGCTCTCCCCAGTTTCCCTCTCTAATAGCTCTACTGATGTCAGAGTAATCTTTCAAAAATTCAGACCTTCCTCCTATTGCTCTGGTTCAGAAGGAAGAATGGCCCTCATCCTTCCCAAGGCTGATCCCAGTGCTACCAGTCCCAACCCCTCCCATCTATTCTGAGACCTTGTTCCATCCAGTAGCACAGCATAGCTGCTGAAGTTCATGGGCAATAGACCCAGGAAGACTGGGTTTAAATCTCAGTGCTGCCACTTGTTTCCTGGTTATGTGCTACGAGTAAGTTTCTTAACCTTCAACCTGTCCACGATTCAGTTTTTTCATCCATCAAATGGGTCTTTTTAAAACCTAATTAATTGTGCTATGAAGAGGATGAAAGAAATTCATTTACACAGAAGGCCTAGCTCAGTTCTTGGCACATGACAGGCATACAATAAGAGATAGCTATTATTGTTATTACCAACAGCCTAACACTTCTACCCTTAAAAATCCGTTTCAGGATAAAACTCAAGCCTTTCTACCAAGCATGTGTGTTCACCATGATCTAAATCTTTCCAGCCTCATCTTGATATAGGCATGTTGAATTATTTTCAGTTCTAAGAGACTGTTCCAAACCTTGGTGCCTCTGCACATGTATCCACTCTGAAATACTGATTTCTAAGCCTACTTATCCTTCAAGACCCTGTTCAAATGTCACCTCCTCTGTGAAAAGTTCCCTGACCTTCCAGGTAGTGGCTCCTTCCTAGATTTTCCCATCGCACTGTAGCCTCATCTCCATTAGCACCTATCCAAACTCTGGCTTTACATTTACTTACATGACTTCTCTCATATGCGCACGCTCCTGCACAGGACAGAGATCATATTGTGGTCAATGAACGAATAAATGCTCATCTCATAAAAATTATTGTGAACTTGGAGAGGCTGTGATTTTTGCTGAAGGAGATGTTTCCAAAGTGACCAGACAAGCAGTCCTTGGACACACTTGTATCTCTCCTGTGGGCCAGTGAACAGGGGTAGGAACACACTATGCATTTTCCCTTCTATTTGCAGGAAGACAGCTCCGAGTCTTCAGTCTAAGACTTCGAGTTTCTACTCTTACACCCTCCTTTCGGCATTGTATGCTCCCTGGCTGTCTTCCTGGGTGGTGTCAGTAAGGAACTCCCTTCAGCCTTTCTGGGCTCCCCTAGCACTACCTGAAGCCCAGTAAGAACCCATGAAGCTGCTAAGAACACCCTTCTGAACAACTTGACTCTGAGGGAGTGTCCTTCAGAGGGGCTGGCTTCAGGAACCCAGGTTGGAGTGACCTCCTGCAGGGCATGTGGGGTAGTGACCAATATGGGGCCATTGACCTCCACACACCAGCCAAGGCTAGGCCTTCTGAGGGCAAATCAAATTGTTTCTCAGAAAATTCTCATGCCTTACCTATACTTCAGATTCAAAAGCAAACAGAGATAAGCATTTTTAACAATGCCCAAGAAAGAGTCCTCTAGTCAGCAACTTAATAACTTCATGGTAGTAGGTCCTTCTGGTTTAGCCTCCATTTCCACCCTCATGTGGCTGAAACATCCTTCTCCATTGACTAGGTTCATCATCAAATGGTTTGATAAAATATGAATCTTTCTTTGTAAAATGCCTTGCAGAGGAAATCTGTTTCCAGTGTTCCAAGTATTATGGTCCTAGGCACTCATGAGCAAACAATTTTAAAATGTTGAGTAAAATTTAAAAAGAAAAAAAAAAGCTTTTTACAAGTTAGTAAGTGTTATGAACTGAATTATATCCTCCTAAAATTCATATGTTGAAATCCAAACCCTGAATGTGATGGTAATTGGAGATGGGGCCTTTAGGAAGGTGATTAGGGTTAAATGAAGTAATAAGGGTGGGGCCTTAATCAAATGGGTTTGGTGTCCTCAAAAGAGGGGAGGAGATACCAGAAAGTTTCTCTCTGAATGTGCACAAAGGAAAGGCCACGTGAGGACACAGTGAGAAGGAGGCTGTCTATGAGCTGGGAAGAGTCCTCACCAGAAACCAAATTTGCTGGCATCTTGATCATAGACTTCTATCCTCTATAACTGTGAGAAAATAATTGTCCCTTGTTAAAGCCACCCAGTCTCTTATATTTTGTTATGGAAGCCTGAGAAGACTAGTATAGTAAGAATTCTGAGTCTAAAACTCAGTCAATGTAGAGATACAAAATGTGATTCAGAGCGTGAAGCTGGCTTTGGCCTTGAGTGCATTTTTAAAAACTGGTGAAGTAGAGCTTTGGTTTTCAGGGCCTTGTGGAGAAGAGGGAGAAGGAGACAAAGGTCAGGGTCCACCAAAGTTAGGGACTCTCGGTGACACCCCTGAACAAAGCTGAGCTAGTTAAGGCTGCACCCTTAGTGTGAGGATGAACTAGAAATAAGCCTACTTTCCTTCTCATGCAGCACTGTTACCCTCTGGGCAGATCTCGAGGCTGATTGTTTATCTCAGACCTTGACACTGAGTGAACAGCAAACAGAAAACTTCCCCTGAGACTCCATCATGCTAAATCTGTCTTCACGTGGGTTTTCAGCCTTCAGATTACTTGGGTGGTTTGAAACCTTCATGCTGAGAATTTAGTCTGAAGAGGTCTGGCTGGTAATGCCCCCAGGCACTGAGCAGAAGCAAACACACCAGCTTCTACCCAGGTCTCAAGGAATTCCCACAGACAAAGTTTATGATTCTAACCACACAGTCAAAAATTACAAAACAAAGAAAGAAACATGGTTCTGGGGGCAACAGGTGAGAAACAACAGGCAACAGAGTGAAACTTCCGAAGATTTCATATACTGGGATTCATAGACACAGAATATAAAATAAATGTGTTTAACATATTTAAATAACTTAAATATATGTAAGGAGCAAGAGATTATAAAATTAGCTCAAAAAGCACCTGAAAAAAAACTAAATAGGACTTCATAAACTAAAAATAATGATATTTGAAATTAAAATAAATCTCCAGTGAATGACTTCAACGGAGGTTAGACATAATGGAACAGAGAATTATTGAACAGAATGACAGAAAATGATAGAAGTCTGCCTTGTCAGACTTCCAGAAGCAGAAAAGAGAGAGAATAAAGGAGAGACAACAGTCGAAATGACAATGGCTAAAAATTTTCCCAAACTGATGAAAGATGCAATCCATAGATTCAAGAAGCTTAATGAAATCAAATAAGATGAATACGAAAATATCCACAACTAGACATATGACAGTGAAACTGTAGAACACCAAAAACAAAGGTAGGATAGAAAGAGGAAAAACTCCAAATCATTTTATGAGGTTAACAATATTTTGACACAGAGATCTGGCAGGCGTGTGTGTGTATGCATGTGTATGTATGTATGTGTGTGTGTGTGTGTGTGTGTGTGTGTATAATATATTCTATTTTGTTATATATATAATACATAACAAAATAGAAGCAAATTCACTATGCAAAATATTAGTAAATCAAATATAGGCATGTTTAAAAATGATAATACTAAATGACCAGGTTGGGTTTATCTCAGGAATGCAAGGTTGGTTTAACATCAGAAAAATCAACCAGTGGAATTCACCACACAGGAGAATAAAGGAGAAAATCATATAATTATATCAATAGATATAGAAAGATGCTTAATAAAAGTCAACATCCATTCACAATAAAAGCTCTTAGCAAACTAGGATGAGAAAGGAACTACAAATTTAAGAAAAAGACTTCAGCAAACATCATACTTAATGGTGAGGAAGTAAAACATTGTGTTTAACACTGAACAATGGCAAAAGTGCCTACCATCATCACAATGGTTTGACATTACACTGGAGATTCTAGGCAGAACACTGGGGCAAGAAAAAGGTTGAAGAAAAGGTGTAAGATTGAAAAGGAAGAAACAAAACCATCATTCCTTGCAGACGATAACTGTCTTATGTAGAAAACTCCAAAGAATTCACAGATAAATTATTATGGAATAGCTGCTATATACAAAAATCAAAGTATAAAAATTAATTGCATTTCTAACCACCATGCAAGAAAAAGGTAGAAAATAAAATCTTAAAAGATATGATTTATAAAAGCAACATCAAATATATCTAGGAATAAATATATTAAGAATTGTACAAGATTTACAATGGAAAGATGACACAAGTTTACTGAAAGCCCTTAAAGAAGCCCTAAGTAAATATAGATATAGCATATTAATGGACTGGAAGACTTGGTCTCATAAAGATATCAGTTCTCCAATTTATCTGTAGTTTTGGTATAATTAAAATAAAGATTGCAACAGGTCATTTTGTGGATCTTGGCAAGATACTTATAAAAGTTATTAGAGAACAAAGGGCACTTCATAGGAAAAAAAAGCACTAACTCGGAAATAAAGATGTGAAAAGATGTATATAGCAGTGCAAAATGATACACGACAACACAGATAAATCTTAAGGACATAATTTTGAGTGAACTTGATTAACACTATATACAACGTGATTATATTTATATGAAGTTCAAATGCTGGCAAACTAAATATTTTTATGGATACATACTTATGTGCTAACTATAAAGAAGAGCAGAGGAAAAATAAAGCACACAATCGAGGTAATGGTGACCTGAGGGACAGGGAACGGAATGAGGTTAGTGAGGGACACACATCACTAAGATATCTGTGTGTGTGTGTTTTTTTTTTTTTTCTTGAGTGGGGAGATGGCTACACAGGTGTTTGTTGTATTGATGTTCTTTATATCTTATATTTTACAAGTATGCTTTTTATCTACTTGGTATTTAGTAAAAACAATTTTTAATAATTGTCTGCAGAGAATCTACCACAACCAAGTTCTGGGTTTGAAATCCCTGGTAGAATAACTGTCCCCAATCCAGTCCTGCCCATAGGACACTCCCCATCCTCCCCAAGAGCCTTACCTTGGCGGGGTTGAGTGCTGTGATGATCCACACACAGTGTGCGTTGTTGTCATACTGAATGGGGAAATTAGGGGAGGTGATGATGCCTGAGGGGCCTCGAAGGTGGGCATCACACATACGGGCTGCAGAGAGGAGATGGAAGACAAGCATTTTAGTTTAGGTTAGGATGAGTTCCCATCCCCACCTCCCACTCCCAGCCCAGAAGAGACTGAAGTTTGTACATCCCACCCCAGATATAACTTCCTACTTCCTGTTTCCTTCCCCCATGGTTCTTAGCGGGCTCAAAGGAAGTCACAGTTCCCCAAACACTGGGGGAGGAGTAGGCCCCACATGCCTTGACCCGCTGCTCTCTAGGCAATGATGAACTTCCACCATCAGGCTAAGCAAGCCCCCTACCCTGACTCCACTGTTACCGAGCAGCACATCTCTACCAAGAGGGTGTGGGCTACTACACACCTTGACCTCAAGCTAGGTGGACCCCATGCACCTATGGGCCTGCTAAACTGCTCTCCTCCTGCTCTGCTGACTTTTCTGCATTCCCCCATTTGCTCTCAGGTCTCCTGAAGTAGAATCTCAGGGTGTCCTTGTCAAGGCCACCCCACTAGGTATCAGAATGTCTGAGCCCAAGGACTCTGCCAGGGCCTCTGGCTCAGCCCGGTGCCAGGCACCTAGAGTGATTTCAGGGACAATAAAGTACTTCCCCACACTTAGCACGTGCCTGAAATAGGCTTTTGACTAGAAGCATAAAGATTCAAGGTAAATTAGAAGTGCTCTCCTCAAGTAGATATAAAGTGTTATCAATCACAACTTAATCTAATTAAGCTCTTTAAAATAGCTTCTAAACTAATTAGATTAAGTAGTGATTGATACCAGTTAAGGTACTACATTGTATCTAGGTGTTTGCCTTCTTTAAAAACGTGTTCTTTAGTTCCAACCACTTCATTCTTCAATGTTAGTGCTCAGCTATTTTAATAAAGAGTTCTACGAGTCTGTTCTGTTGCTGCCCACATGGCAATTTATCTTAATTGTAGGCAAAGTGCCTAACAGTAAAGAAATAGTGAGCAAACTCAACAAGACTAAGTATATAAAATGAAAGTGGTGTCAAACCGGGTTTCCTCTGATGGGACAAAATATCCTAGAACTCCTCTCCGCGTGTGGACAGGGCTGTGCTAAACCTTTCCCAGGAAACCCTTCCTAGGAGGGCCTGGGGAAGCAGGCTCCCCAGCTCTGGACATAATTCATCTCTTCTCATTTCACACACTCATTCCTGTGCTCATTCACTCCCACGTACACTGAGAGCCTATTAACAGGCCAGGCAGAGTGTGGGGAGAGAAAAGTGTCTAAGACACAATCCCTCTTCTCTGAAGGGCCACCAGCAAGTGGAGGGAACAGATGTGAAAAACAGTTACAACTGAGTGGAGCGAGTGTTGTCAGGGGTTACGTGCAAGAGACCCGGGGTCAGAATTGCTGGCTCTCCCAAGTCCTGCACCTGAAGGATCTTCTCATCCTGACCTCAAATGTTGAATCAAGTTTGAAGAAAGCCCTAGGGGAACCCTCTCCCGCACTCCCCTCCCGTGCATCTGATTGCTCCTGTAATACTGTGCTGAGAAACACTGATAATCACTGATTCCACTTGATACAACTGGGCCTGAAGGCGGCACCGCATGGGGAGGAGAGCAGGCTGTGGGGTTTACCAGCTTGGCATTCTGGGTTTGAAGTCCACTTGCTGTGTGTTTAAGTCTGGTAAGTTAGAAAACCTCTCTGATTCTACTTCACCTGTAAAATGGGACTAGTGATATTGCCCCACCGAGGCACGGTGAGGATGAAATTTTACGAGATTTTTGGATATGAAGGCTCACCAAGGATCCGGGACATCGTCAATATTTAACAAAGGGGGGCTGGGACTGTCAGACTCTGATATTATATTCATTCCATCTCACTATCCCCAAGATTTCTCAAGGCCAGGGATCTTTATTCTACCTTTCCTGAAGTTTCTTTATAGGATTTTTTTTCCCATGACCACACTGGAGACTGACAACATCACTAAACAAATTAGAATAAGGTTGTCAAAACCGAAACCCTGATCCCAGCCCACCTTTGCAAAGAGGACCTGTGGATTCCGCATGCTAGGCCTGCAGGGGATCCTGAGAAACCTCTACCAGCACGAACTTTACACCTGTTCGGGAGACTCAGGTTTTACTGCCAAAAGCCCTCAGCTTCAGACTTAATTTATCCTGCACTTGTTTCCAAAAATTAGATGGTATTTGCAGTATGTTGAAATGTGCTGGAGATAAATTAGAGAGAACAGGTCAAAAAGGCATTTACCACTTTAAGGGCTTAGAGGGGTTTAATTAAAACATTACAGTCTGCAGCTAGTCAGCCTGGAGCACCTAAGATAGGTTCAGAACGGAGCAGCAGCTCCTTTTTTCCTCTGCTGTGTGGGTAAGGTCGGGGGTCTGCAGACAGACAGACTTCTCCCTGAGCAGCCAGCAGCTGGGATCCCACCAACAGATGGATAGCTCATCGCTGTGACCCACAAGGGCTGGCGAGATGGCTGATGCTCAGACAGTGACTGAATAAATGAAGAAACACATACTTATGTTTCTCTATTTGCCTTTTCCCATCAAATGCCTTGCTGGATAGCTTTCAGGAGACTTTTCCAGGACCTTCCATGCCCAAGCTCTGCTGCAAAGTCCCATTCTTCCTCTGAACATCACTACACCATATAACAGGGGCAGTATTCCAGGGGACTTCAGGGAGATATCATTTAGACCCACCACCGGTTCTGGCATCAAAACAACTTGGTACCAAAAAGGGAACTGCTGCAGGTGCCAAGTGCCTCTGGTCTTCTATCTTCTCCCCAAATCTTATTCCCACCCTGCTCCATGCTGGCTTCCCTCACTTCTCCTACTACTGACCTCCCTCCTCATCCTTTCCTTTCCACAGTTCCCTCTCTAGAACCACCTCCTGACCACCAATTCTAAGGCAAACAAACTCTGACTTGTAGCTGCAACGTCTTTCAGAACTGCCTCCTCCAACTCCTGCCGTGCGTGAAGCCCATCTCCCCCTCCTGGGTCCGCAGCACTCTGCAGTGGAGAGCTTTCTCCTCCCCGCCAGTGTTTTGTTCCACAAACAATTGCTAAGCCCCTGGAGGAAGTCTTCTCTGACCTTCATCTGTATCTCACTCCACTGACACCAACTTTCTCTCCACCATCAGCTCCCTGTCTTCTCGTCCATCCTTACCCAACTTAGATCCCATGGTCCACCATTATGATCATTTTCTTGCAAATTCACCTAAGTCCCTCGCTCCTTTTTCCTTCAAATGATTGCCCGAAAGACATCAATTGTGGATGAACTTCTCCACCTACATTCTCTAGCCCTGCCCCCATGCAGTAGAGCTTTGCTGGAGAAAAATCACATGAGTAGGAAGATTGGTGTCACTATAAATTCATGATCACCCACCTCAAAAAGTACTGGATATTGTCCAGCAACTCCGCCATGCAGCCCTATTAAGCTCACTCTCCCACTCTGCCCAAAGACCCTTTCACGCCTCCTGCACGTCCCTCGGACGTCTCACCTTTCCCCTTGCCTCCCCTTACTCTCAGGTGATGACCTTGCTTCAGCCTTTGTGGGTGGAACAGAGGACATTTGGCAGGCGTGCCCTCTCTCTCACCCCCCAAGTCTGCAATCCTGTCTGCTTATGTGCCCATCTTCTTCCTTTCGCTTCCCACAGAGGGACGGCTCCTTCGCCTTTCAGAGGTCAGCGCCTCCTCCTGAGATCAGGTGCCCCTGCCCAAGGTCAACCATGTCCGTGGCCACACCCAGGGCCCGTTGTTCTGGGACCCAGGAGAGTCCATCTGTGAGATCTTAAACTCCATCACCCTGCTCCTTTCCCCGCTGCCTACGCATCCAGCAGAGTGACTTTGGTCTCGATGCACCACCTGCTGTCCTAAACCCTAGGTCTCTCCAGACCCCTGGCTCCCTCATTTCTCGCCATCTCTCCATCCCCTCCTGACCCTTCTTCTCTCACTACCTAGTCTGGACCTCAAGACCCTCACCAGCAGCTCCTGTGACACTCTCCTATCTGCCTTTGATTAACCATCTCTATTCCTAATCCTGGGTGCCCGGGGGCTGCCAGGAGAACCATGGCACCACCACAGACTTGTGGTTTGCCATTGTAATGGAAGCTTTGGCCCAAGTCAGTCCTCTCTCTTGTCTTTGTTCCATTTCCTTGACAGTTCCTTACAGGGGCAATTTCAAACATCCACCTCTTAGTTGAGCCACTTAACCCCAGAGGCTGCTCTCCAGTCTTTGTTGTACTCGACCTCTCTAAAGTGTCTGACCCTGCTGACCCTTCTCTCTCTGTGAAACTCACATTCACTGGCTTCCATGATGCCTCTGGCTCTTCTCCTGCCTCTGCGACTGATCCAACTTATCCATTAACTCCCTAAAATAGTTGTTTAAATCTGGGCAAAGAACATATAATACTTTGCACAGTTCCTGCCAATTTTCTGTGAGTTCACAATTAGATCAAAATAAATGTTACCAAAAAGTGGGGGCAAGGGGGAGGAGAGGTTGTTCTATGTGGTTCCATCTAGTGTATTTACTCCAAATTGGTGTCCAGGTGCAATTTTCAAGTAGAAGTAGGACAGAGCCTTTGGACTGCGGTGGAATCCCAGTTCAAAAGATTAGCTTTGGGCCTTTGGGCAAGTTGGCGGACCACTCCAAGCTTTAGCTAAACATAAAACATGGATGTTGTCTCTTTCCTTGTAAAGAAATTATAAACAATGTTACTGTACTGCTTTTTACAAGTATAAATAGCTTAATAAATGGGAGCTTTATCATTAGTACATACGTATAGGTAAGGGGCTCAGGGAGCAACGGTGCATGTATTCTAGTGAAGTCAGTACATCACCCAGGGGAGAATAACTACAGAGGAGAGGAGAGGAAGGCGGCGGTAGCATGGGGGAGGGATGGGGGTAGGGGTGAGGGGGTGGAGAAAAGAGGAGGGGAGAGAGATGAAGACAAAACTCTGAACAACATTAGTGTTTAAGGGGGAGGCCCAGGAAGCTGACCCAAGACGGAAGACAGCCACCTGTAATTTTCACAGCATTAAATTAAACTTTTTTGTGCAATATTTCCCACATTTCACTCCCACCTTAGGAGAATGAGCGAGAAGATTCAGAGCATTTCAGTAATTTGCCCTGTGCCATATGGTATGTTACTAGCAAGGTTGGAACTTGAACTTAGGTCTCTGGGTCCTGAGTCTGGTGTTCTATTTACCACAAAAGCTCTTATTCTGTCGACTTTCTGTTGACGATCTACTCTGTGACTCGGTAACTGTATTTCATCCGGGGCTGGTACTCCATCCCTATCCCCTGTCAACACCAATTTGTGGTCAAGGAAACCAGATCTCCTGGTTGTCAATTTGGTTCTCTTCACTCCATCAGTGGTTTACAAACCGTGTTCCCCAGAACCTCAGGGGTTCCCTGGAGGTGGCTTCGCGGCTGCTGGAAGTGGTGAGAAGGGGGCACTCCAAATCCCCCGCCCCTACTTCATTGAGAGGAGCTCCACGGCATTTATTTTATTTATGGGGCCTCTGCAAAAGCTTTTAAAAAACTATTGGGCTCCCTATGTGAAATAAGTTTGACAAGCCCTATATTATACTGCCTGTATCTGGGCCTGAATAGAATTAGTTTATCGGGATAACAATGTTTCATGTTGTCCTCAATTCCTCAATTCCAAAATCAAACTTTTCTAGTAGTTAAATGAGAAGCTTATTTCTTCTGGTGGGAAGGGAAGAAAGAAAAGGCCTGTGAATATCTAATTTCAAATTCCAAAACGAGGGCACGTTCCCCAATTGTTCATTCATTTCAATCACTGATTCATTCAGGTTGTCCTCAAACATTTGTTGAAAACCTATCATTTGCCGGGTCCCATGTTTTGGTAGAATTAATTGTGTGGAAAATGAATGTTTAAAATCAAATCATATTTTAAATGCATTACAGGAAAAATAATACCACTGTGTGTGGCGGTGAATCCTTCTCAGACTGTGATCTTTTGGTAACCTGCTTATTAGGGGAGCTACCGTGGAATTCAAAGAGTTTTGTCCCTTTCTGTTTTTAAAGTGGGTTTCATTTAAACTCTCTGTTAAAAAATCACAATTAGAATAGTAATTCTGACTAATTAAAAATAAGAGATTTTAAAAGGAAAACTTTCAAAACTGCCAAAATTAAAGAACCCCCCCCCCTTGAATTTAATATCTAACTCAGCCCTTGGCCTTCAGGGAAGTGCAGGACAGATCATCCAAGTCCAAACCCAGCAACCTTTGCTTTTCTCTTCCTCCCTCACAATGACCTTGGGAGAGGGAAAAAGAGGGAGAGAATGGCAGGAAGGTGAACCTGCCCTAGAGCCCCCTCTCAACCACAGCTAGTGCTGGTCACTTTCTATAAAACGGCTTGTTTCAATTTGGCAATCACTAGGCACTGGAGGTTTTGTTTTCCCAGTTCACAAATGAGGGCCCTGTGGCTGAAAAAGAGGAAGGAAGCCGCCCAGGGCCAGCAAGCCAGCAGGAGGTAGAGTTGGTCTCTAGATCAAAGTCTGTGGGCCTCCCAAGGTGTGTGATTGCAACAGGATTGGACAGGACAGTGAGGAAACAGGCTTCTAAAAGATCTGGGGCCACTAGAGGCTGAGGGTGCGCTCTGAGGCGCGGGGAAGCTATATCCTGACAGGCCTTTGTTGTTTAGTTTAACCTAAACACGCTGCACACGAGCCTCACAGATACGCTGGGGTCACTTCTAAATGAGGCCTTTCATGTCCACTGTCTCCTCTAGTTCTCGCAGTAATGTCATAAAGCAATGCTCTATAATCACTGCCTTTTATCAAAAGAAAAGAGATTCACAGAGGTGAAAAGACACCCGGCTAAAAAGTGGTAATGGTTGGATTTGTACTCAGTTCTGTCTGGCTATGTCTTCCGTGATTTCCCCTCCACTTCCCAGGGGCAGAGGATGGGATGAAAATGGATGTGAAAAAGCTCGGCCCGATGCTTAGTCAATAGTGTGGCAGGGAATGCAGAGTCGAGTGGGTCAAAATCATTGGAGGGACTTGGCTGGGGCACACAACATGTCTGGAGAAAAAGACGAGCACATCACTTGACTGTGAACTTTCTTCTGAAACACCAGCCCTTCCCCACCCCGGGCTTATTCATGTAAACAACCACCATTACTAAGAGAACAACCTGCCTCCAATGAAAAGGTCTTGCGGAGAGATCAGATCCCACCACCTCCTGAAGGCATCCTTGTTCTGGCTCCTCAAAAGGAATTTTGAAATGACAGACAGGCAAAGGGAGCCTTGCTCCTCAGACTTGATAATTCTATGCCTGTCTACTCAGCTGATGTCTTGGTTCCCCAGAAATGGAGTGTTGTGCTATTCAATTATTCACTTATTAAATCATCCATTCAACACATGCTACTGAGCACCTACTATGTGCCTGGCCCTATTCAAGGCAGTGAACAAAACAGACGTCCTTGCCCTGTAGAGCTTATATTCTAGCACAAGGATGTTTGCTTTCTTGTCCGGCACTTCCCAATTCATAGAGTGTTTCCATATCTACAACTCCATTTGACCCTCCCATTAACACAAGACGGGTAGGGTAGGAGCCATGACCTACATTTACCAGTAAGAAAATAAGCCCAGGGAAGATAGGGGCTTTGCCAAATTACCCATGGCCAGCTGGTGGCAAAGCTGAGAGTAATACCCAAGAATTCTTTCATTTGATTTTTTTTTTTTTTTTTTTGCGGTACGCGGGCTTCTCACTGTTGTGGCCTCTCCCGTTGCGGAGCACAGGCTCCAGATCCGCAGGCTCAGCGGCCATGGCTCACGGGCCCAGCTGCTCTGCGGCATGTGGGATCTTCCCGGACCGGGGCACCAACCCGTGTCCCCTGCATCGGCAGGCGGACTCTCAACCACTGCGCCACCAGGGAAGCCCTTTTGTTTGATTTTTAAGAAAAATATTAGTTAAGTGGAATCTTTGAAATAACATAACTAAAATCAGTGGGGATGCAAAGCACATTATTAATTGTGGATTGTGGCCACCTCAAAGTTGAGTGAGAATGAATTAATCTAAGGCTTATTTGAGAGAGATTTTCATGACCCTCTTCCAGAGCGCTTATCAACACAGTAAAAAAAGGGAGTGGGTCTCAGCTCCAACTTGCCCCTTCCTCAGTGCAGCAGTGATCTAAGTTATTTACCCTGGACGTATCTTACTCTGCATGAATTTCATCTTGATGCATGTGCCTGGAGAGAGACAAAGAATCTCCTTCTTAAACTGGAAGGATCTGGAATGTAACTTTAGCGGGCAGCACACTTTCTCTTCCAAAGGGTCACTCAAAAAAAAAAACAAAAACAAAAAAAAAAAGGGTCACTCAAAAGGGCCACTGCTGTCTTTGTTTACAAACTCTAGAGTGATTCCTTACTTTTGTACCAAGAACTCTTGAGTCCCGGTCATGTGTGCAAACAATGGAAAAAGCGAGATGAATGCAGTGTAGGACGTGAAAAGCTGTCTAGTGGTGCCCTGCGAGATGAGGCCAGGGGCTTCTCTACCATAGAAACAGCTGCTGTCCTGTCCCAAAGAAAAAATACACGCAGGTCTCATATTTTAAGATTATTTGGGGGATGGGGACTTGGCCAGCCCAGCCTTGGTTCTTTTGAAACCTGGGATGGCAGGGCCCCCGAGAATAAGACGTCCAGGTGTGAGGTTAGAGGAATCCCACAGAGAGGCCTTTTGAGGTCATGGTCCCTGTTACTCCTGCATAGCTCAGAGCATTCTTTCAGAAGTGAAAGGTCTGTTTATTGCTGAGTATGTGGAAAGACACAAGGGCATTGAGATGGAGGGTTTGGGATGTCTGTGTGCTATAAGGGAAGGATTCAAGGTGACATGATACAAAGTGACTTCCCTTCCCATCTAGGTGCAGCTGTAATATCTTGGTGCAGTGGGCCAGAAACCTGCTCATGTGTGACTCCCTGACTAGACTGTCAGGTGCAGGCAGGGCAGGGACCGTGCCTCTCTTCCCCATCTCTGTTATCTCTGCTACCTCCTGCTCCTCTATAGGCCTGGATACAGAGGAGGTGCTAAATAAATGTGTTGGGTTCATTAGTAAATGGATGCAGAATCTGAGGTGTGGGGAGCAGCGAGAATGAGGTGAGCCAGTCTGGATGAGAGCCTGGACTCAGGCATCAGGAGCTGGGCTCCGTCCTCCATACCCAGCCCAGCTTGCTGGCCAGCCTCCCTTTCCAGGGGCACCCTCACCTCGGCAGACCGGCCTGTGGTCACTCCAGGCTGCAAACATGTCGCTGACTTTCATACAGGTGATCCGCTTGGACCCTTGCAGGTCATAGCCCTCGTTGCAGGTGAACTGGACGCTGGATCCTAACCTGGGAGACAAGGCGTATCTGTGAGCTCCACCCCTGGGCCTGCCAGGTCCCCCCTGAGTCCTTCCTAGGTCCACAAAGAAGCACCATGCCGAACTTTATTTCTCCTCTGGCCCTTAATCTCCGCTCCACCGTTTATCACTTAAAACCTCCATTGGAAGGAACACCTGCTCTTCATCTTCTTTTTTGGACCGTTTAATGGTTTTAGGATTGAGTTAAAAGGTGACTTTGTGTGCAAAACAGCAATCCTCTGAGATAAGTATTAGGACAATTGGGACAGCTAAGAGTGGGTAGATGATACACATAAACTTTCATGAAAGTGGAGGATTATGAGAAGATGCCTCGATTAGAAAAGTTAGAAAATTTATAAAATGCACTGTCTCGGGGCCTTAGGGTGTCCTAGACTATCGGAGGTGTGAGCTGCCTGCTGGCACGTCATTCCTGATGATGGCAGCCCTTTGTACCCTGGGTATAGTTCTGCTGGGTGACACTGGCAGTCTACAGCCCTCCCTTCCCCCTTAAGGTGTGGGTACTAGTCCCAGGACTGGACCAAGAGAGAATGTTAAAGGCCAGAGCTCTTCTCCAGGAAGTGATTCTGTATCCACACGGTCCTCTCCACTCTACCTCCAGGAAGGCCAGTCCCTGTCTTCCCCCCAACCAGGCCATCGCACCCTTCTTGTAATAAGAACATTCCCAAACAGATCTTACCTGAAATCTGAGCCTAGTCTTTTGCCCCTTTCAGGTATGCCAGGGTCTGGACACATATTATGCCCTTGGGACACACCAACCTGAGTTACTACAAGGCAAAAAACAGCACATACAGAGATGGATAATCACAGGAAGAAACCAGTCGGGGCAGTGTCGCAGGGTGGGAGGTGGACGCAGAGACAGAAAGAGGCCCTGCTCTGCTGGGGCCTGTGGGGTTGCTGGGGTCTACTGGGCTCGGGTTTCCCGAGTGTGCAGATGGGGAGCTGCTTTTGACAAATTCCTTTGGGAGCAAAGTCCAAGTGAAATTCATCAAGAGCGTGTGGGCTCAGAGGCACCCCAAACCAACAGCCATCCCGTTCGTTCCCTTATCCCGCACCAGCGGCCAGAGGTGGACAGTCCACAGCCCCCGGTGACCTCCCCACCCTTCCAATCTGCTGATGGCGGCTCTAGATGAGATGAGCCCCCCAACCTCAGCCCCCAATGGAGAAATGACTCAAAGAAAGTTAAATAAAAGGTGGATGTGTGGTCAGAAACGGTAAAGAATGTAAGAGAAAGCTGCAGTCTGAAGTTCAAAGCAGGGACTTGAGCTCAAACACGGATATTTCTGCTGAGAAACCTCTTCCCATCGGACAGTTCTCAATGCAGAGTAAGCGGTAACCAGAGCATCCCCCGCCCACGCCGCTGGCCGAGGGCACCGAGGTAGCACCTGCAGTAGTTCTGGCAGGTGCTGTGATGCCCTCACGTTCGCCAACACCAGAGTCCTGTTTTTAAAAGCCACGTGCACAGTCCTCTAGGTTAAAGGAGAAGCTTGGTCAAAGGGCGGCGGATACACACAAAGTCAGTTTTCTCCCGTCTCCAGTGGAGAAGGTGGAAACCCTCCGGCCCCGGCAGTTCATTGTTCTTGAGATGCTGTGAGGCTAGAACTCCCTTGCACCTCTGGAGTCCTGGCCTTGGCAACGACCAGGAGCCAGAGTTCCACTCAAGCCCTCACCAACCCCACAGTCCCAACAACCACCTCTAGACGAGGGATGACGGGGAGTCTGGAGCAACGTTCCCTGAGTTGGCCCATTTCCCTCTCACCCAGTCAATGTCCCACAATATGAGCAACGTGCTCCATCACTCACTCACTCACCCACTCATTCCTGCACATGATACACAACAGGCATTAATTGAACACCTACTGTATACAAGACCCTATTTGGATACAGTGGGAAATGCCAATGTCAGGTATAAGATATGACCACTCCACTGTCCTCAAGGAGTTACATGAACTATGGAAAGAAACTACAGAACCACAACGGGGAGGTGATGAAAGATACAGCTAAAGGGAGCTTCAGAGAGAGGACCCATCTCATATTGCTGAGAGAAGCATGGAAGGCTGCCTGGAGGAGGCAGCATTTGACACGGATCTACTGAGATAGTGGGATTTAGATACATGATAACAGAGAAATGGTATTTCAGGCAGACAGATGGGCCCGGGGAGCAAGGTGGAGACACGGAAACCGAAGTGTAAGTTGTTCGGTGTGCCAGAACAGGAGGGAGGGTATGAGTGACATGGAGGAGTGAAGGTGAAGTGTCAGAGGTCAGACTTTGAAGGGTCTCAAGTCTGATCCTAAAGACGATGGGAAGAGTCCTGAGTGGGGAAGGGCACTGTAAGATCTGGATTGCTCAGAGGGAGGCCAGTTACTGTGAAATGAGTTAGAAAGTTTTGTGTTCATTCAGGTAAAGGACAACAAGAGCCTGGTAGTGGGAACAGACATGAAGTGACGGGAATGGACGTGGCAAAGAAAGAGTTATCAGGGCTTGTGGAAGAGCAGGGCATAGGGAGAGGGGGCAGGGGACTTCCTGGCCCAGGGAACTGTGAGGGTGCAGTGAGTTGATGGAAGTGCAGCAGTGGGGAATCCCATTTTTGACTCAGTTAGTCTCACTTCAGACCTGAGTTTGAAGCTCATTCCTACTGTCAGGAACCTGTCCAAATCTCCAGGGAGCCCTGGGTGTGGCTGGCCAAGGGAACCTGGGCATTTGGACAGACTGAGTGCTCAAGCCAGAGACCGGTTACCCTCTTGGTTGTGTGGTGACGAGTACAAGGCCTCTTGGGCAGCCTCCTTTTCTCCAACATTCCACAGTGCCAGGCTCAAGCCAGTCGCTCCCACTGGACGCTCGTCCCCTACTCCCATCCCCTTCCTTGCCAAACCTCTATTTCTGAAACTTTCACATCCTCAACTAAGCTATGTCAACATTCCCCCAGTCCTGGGCCCTTCAGGCTCGGCTAATAAGACAGAAGCGCCATCTCCAAAAGCAGAGCAAGCCCCTGCCTCCTGGGGCCTCGGTGTTTTGCGAGCAGTGGGGAGGAAAGAGAAAACTGGGGCTTCCAGGATCCCCAGGGGCAGGAGGGAGAGTGGACCCCTGAGCTGTACCTGCGGGTCCATCTGCTGGCAAGCCAGACTCACCGTGATCCATCCCTACTGGGGGTTTCTGAGCTAAGCGCCCACCTTCTTTAGGCCCTGCCTACTCAACCCTGTGCACCGACCACCCCCATCCAAAGGCCCTGCTGACCACCACATGGGAACCACACACCACCTTGCAGCGTGTTAAGAATGCAGATTCTTGCCTCCTTCTCTCGCCCTTTCGTTCAGAGCTGACACTGCTCAGCGTAGCATAGAGGAAGGCTGACCAATGAGGATGTGGCTGGACGGGAGAGCTGAGGCCATGGCGAAGCCCACCCACCGAACCGCAGCCCCTGACATGTATGGCAAACCTTGCTGTGTCCCCTTTAATCAGCCAGCCCGAAATGAGGCTCAGGCGCCATCCAGGAATTTGCAAGCCCAGCGGTGAGCAGCTCATACCCCCCCAGTGCCCTCTCTTCCTGGGAGGACCGAACAGGTGATGGCATCCCCGTATGAGCCTTCAAGGCGCCCCAGAAACAAGCAAACTCAAATCCCAGTGAACAGTTTACTGTCGGAGTTATAGAGGCAAAAGGCTTTTCCCCTTTCTTTCCTGAGTTCCAGCCTCCCCTGCCTATTCAAGACCAGCCGATTGTGCTTGTAGCATGAATTTGCTCTTGGCTGCAGAGGGAAGAGACTGGAAGGTGATCCTTGCCCCGGTCCCTATGGTGAGGAAGAAGCCGCAACACGTTCAGAAAGACAATGCCTTCTACCCAAAGTGAAGGGAGCCACAGACACACGGGTGGTCAGAACCAATGGCCGGGGGCCCATGGTGCCCACAGACTGGTAAAGGCAGCAAGTAGGATCCAGGAGATGTAAGTGTGGCCCACTCCTCCCCTGAAGTTCAGGACATCTGTCCACAGGGAATCTGGGCAGAACACAATGGGCCAGACCCCTGCAGACATTTGGTGACCTGCCTCCGAGGCAGCTTGAGTCACACACCCATTCCTCCCTGCAGGAATCTCAGAAAGGAGACCAGTATCTTGTTGTAGAGAAATGTATATTTTTTCAAAGAGGTTTTGAATTTTTTTTATTAAAATAGGGTTTCTTCATCTTTCTGAGGGAGTTTTTGGTACCTCTGAGAACTAATGAAAACCATAGACCCTTCCCTTCCACCCCAAAATGCACCCACAACATCACATGTGATTTTCTAGCGAGTTCAAGGACCTCCTGAAGTCCTAGATCAAGAAGACCCATCTCAGATCCAAAGGAGAAAGGGAGGATAAGGTTTTGCATCCCCATTCTACAGATGGGGAAACTGAGGTGTTAGGGCCTGGGGTAACACAGTTACCTAAGGACACAACTGGGAAAGAAACGTGCTCTCCCAAGTCAGAGCAGTTTCCTTAAAGTTTGCCTGTGGCCCCAGGGCAAACTCTGAAGTTGAATCGTGCCTGCCTCGGCTCCTCTGGTTTCCTGTGGCTGCAGAAAGAAAGAGCCTGGGAGGGCCCGCGCCATGTCTTGAGCCTTCCCTGCAGACTCCTGACCTAACCCTCTGCCCCTTCCTTTGGCTCCCTAGTCAAGCACAGAAGCAGGGCCTTCTGGCTGCCCTCTGCCATCCAGGCCACTTGTGGCAGGGTGACCAGACAATGGTCCCCAGAGGCAAGGAGTGGTACCTGTCTCCAATTGGAGGACTTGAAAGACCAGAGGAAACCCACAGCCAGGCTCAGTTTCGTCATGGCCTTGGGACCAAACTGCCTCTCCCCACGCTGCTCCCTGCCACCCAAGCACGGAGCTGTGGACCCACCCATGGCCTCTCTCCAGCAATTACTTCCAGCACCTCAGCAGAAGGGAGCACATGGAGGTGAAAGAGGAAAGGAGAGGGTCAGCAGGGAGCAGAGACAGAGAGAAAAAGAGGGGGAAGCAGATAGGGTGAGGGAGGAGGAAGGAGAGGAAAGTGGAAAGAGGGAGGACGAGTGGAAGGAGACAGAGAAGGGCGTGAGAAGCAGAGGGCAAAGGGAGGCAGAAGGTAGACCAGAAGGCCAGGTGTTTGGGGGACAAAGGGAGGCTCCCTGTCGCCACCCCCAGAATGAAAATGGAGCGTTTCTTGGAAAAATCTGCTCTGCTTTCAAGTCCAGCCTCCTGGAGCGGCCCAGAACCTTTGGGAAATCCTTCCTATGCTCTAGCTCAAAAGCCCCTTAGCACAGGCTCTGATCAGGTGTTTCTGGAGTGACATTCCAGACAACTGCCCAGCATTGGACATTCTCCTTTTGATCTTTCAAACATCAACGGCAGGAACACGTTTCCAGGGACAGAATTTGCCCCATGTCCAAGCAGGGAGCTCCCAGCACTCCCCCATCAGCTCAAGAAGCAGGACCCCCCCCCCCCTTCTAGTCCATGTTTTGCCCAGCCAGGTCCATGGACCCTGGTGGAAGGTTCTAGGCATTCCCCTCTCTCCCCTTCCCCCAATCTTGTCTTGGGAGCTGGAATCAGGGACTTGAAGCCTCCAAAATCCCAGCTGGAGTTTACTGACTCCTAGACGAGCCAGATAAAGGATTGTCTTAGCAGGTGGAAGTGATTCAAAAGGAAAAAGAAAGAAAGAAATGTAGCAGTAATGACTCCCTGGACTGCAGTTAGAATGGGAAGTGAGGGAGAAAGAAGAGGCAGGAGGGGAATGGGAGGAGGAACACGAGAAGACAAAGGGCAGGCCCCGGGGCTGCTCACTGGGCACCAGGTTAGTGTGTGCACGCGCAGACCCGGGCGGAGGGAAGCCGGGCTGGAGGGACATCAGCGCAGCAGCATCTGGCTTCCCCACGGTCACAGCGCCAGCGGTTCTGGCCTCGAGCGAGAGGCCTGGCGGGGCGGACACTTACACACAGACGTCTTCTGGCTGTTATCTTTGCTGGGCATCAGCTTCACGCCTCGAGACTTCAACTCAATTTGCTTCTTGACTAGAGAAGAGGTGAAAGGAAAATCAGGCTTAGTTGTCATATGGGACTGGGGATGGGTCCCTCTAGAATGATCCCTCTCTTAGCTTGGGACATTCCATGGTGAATCAAAGCCAGAAGCCCCTCTGGGCAGGGATATACTAAGGGTAGCGCTCAAGTGCAACAGGGTCTCAAACACGGAGAAAGAGCTGCTATCAAGGCTGGCTCTCTGGGGTGACCTCCCTGCAAACTGGTAGTGAGTGTCCACATGCGAAGCCCCGCAGCCCACCCTCTGCAGCTCTGCTCTCCTCCCGATCCAGTCCTGGCCAATTTCTGGACCAGCCCTGGCCAGGTGTGTTGCATTGCATTAGGGCCCCAAGTTGTCACCCTCGCTGTAACCACAGCTGTTGCAATGAAATGTGACTGTAGTCCTTCCTGTTAAAGAGGTAGAGTATATTTCCTCACCCCTTGACTTTGGGTTTGGTCATTATGGAGGCCTTGACATGTCCAAAGACTTGAAAAGTGCCTGCCAGATTAGGCTTGCCCACTTGAATCTCTGCCATCTTTGGGAGAAGACATGGCTGGTCCTGGGAGGATGAGAACATGAGGAGCAGAGCCCACCATCCTAACGGAGCCCAGCCCACACCAGCTGACCTACTGTGAGCAGGGGCAGCCGAGTCCGGGAGGTCACTGGGGTATGGTCTGATGGATTGAACTGGGTTTTGATCCCAACACTAAGTCCAGTCCATACCTCATCAGGACTTGGCCAAATAGCATACAAAGGGCCTCAGAGCCAGAACTCCACAATTCCAAAGGCTATTCCTCTGAATCCATCAACCTCCTTTGGGTCTGAGTACCCCTATGCTCCAAAGCATTCTGCTGGTTGCCAAGGGCTTCATCCTGTCTCCGGTTATATGGCTTGGTTTATCTGTCTAACCCCAGAACCCCCTGCCGGGTGGCTCAGTCCCACTCTTACTGGAACCAGCAGCGGTAACAACTGTGACCAGCACTTCCTACGTGCCAAGCCCCGGGCTGAGGGCCTTACAAGTTCTTTACTTAAATCAGCATCACTGACCCCTTTCTTTCTCTCACACCCACACACGATCTATCAGTAAACCCTCCCAGATTTATCCCCAATGCAGTTTCTACATCTGTATCTCTGGTCCAAATCTCCAAGACTTCTCCCTTTGTTGCCATGGCCTTCCATCTTCCACACTTGCCCCCATCTAATCTGTTCTCAACACGAGATCCAGAAGGATCTTGTTAAAACACAAGTCAGACCAAATTACATCTCTCCTCAAAACTCTTCAGGGGCAACCCAACTCTCCTATAGTAAAAGCCAAAGTCTTTAAAAGGGCCTGCCCAGACCAACTGGCCCTCTCTGTGATCTCTCTGACTCCATCTTCGACCTCAGTCACTCTTCTCCAGCCACATGGGCCCCCCTCATATTCCAACAATACACCAGGCATGCCCACTTAAGCCTGCCAGTTCCCTAGAAGGCTCTTTCCCAGATATCTTCATTACTTGCTGCCTTTTCTCCTTGAAGCCTTTGTGAGAACACCGCTTCCTACGGCAGGCCTTCTCTGACCACTCCACTTAAAACTATACCTCCAACCCCAGCTCTCCCTAACCCCTACCCACTTTATCCCTAACTCTCTCGTATGCATATAATTTTCTTAGTGATTTTTGTCATCCTACGTTGCAACGTAAGCTCCACGAAGACAGAAATTTTTGTCTGTTTTGTTCATTGCTCTGTCCTCAATGCCTAGAATAGTGCCTGGTTCATAGCGGGTCCTCAATAGTCATTTCATTTGGTCCTTATATATGTTCAACAACCTTGACCGGTAGTTATTATACCTACTTGATCGATAATAAAATTGGGGTTCACGATGGTTTAAGTGATTTATTGTAGGTCACACAGCCAGGAGGCGGCTGTGCTCTTGGTGGGACCTCAGCATCTTCTCTTGTGACTTGTCCCCAAAGTTATCCCAAGGGCATGGTCAACCTTCTTCAGCATCTGTCCCCTCCCCAGCTCAGCCCCTGGAGACTCAGATATTCACTCTGCACTTGAGATAACATGTCAACCCCAGAACTAAAGCCCACAGTGATCAGATGTGCAAAGGGAACCAAGTCCGAGTATTCCCCCACGCCCTGTCCATCCCTGCTCTGCCTATATTCAAAAGCTCCCCAGGGCTTCCCTGGTGGCGCAGTGGTTGAGAGTCCGCCTGCCGATGCAGGGGACACGGGTTCGTGCCCCGGTCCGGGAAGATCCCACATGCCGCGGAGCTGCTGGGCCCGTGAGCCAAGGCCGCTGAGCCTGCGCGTCCGGAGCCTGTGCTCCACAACGGGAGAGGCCACAACAGTGAGAGGCCCGCGTACCGCAAAAAAAAAAAAAAAAGCTCCCCAAAGGTTGGTCCCTCAGCAAGCTGCTGTCTAAGCTGAATGCCTGACAAAATTCAGTTACTTCCACGGAGTCACCACTTCCCTCGTGCATTCAAATCCCTTTTATAAATGTGCATTACTCTCCATGTGTATCCAGCAGGAAAATTTCCAATGAACACTAACATGGGCCCATTATCAAACAGAGGGTATTCATAGGGAAACATGCATTATTCAAGCCTAGCTAATAACGGTGAGGCAGGGGAAAAAACGTCCTCTGATTCAACATCCCTAAGAGAACAGGAATGGTCCCAGCACCGCGAGAACAATTCCAGCTCTTCTCCCGGGTGCCCCACCAATGCGCAGGGATCAGGAGAGGGGCCTCTAGGACCCAGTGCAGCCCATCTGAGAGCAGGTCTGGGAAGATGGCTCAGGGCATCCGGAGAAGGAGGTGAGTCAGAGTCTTCCCAAGCCCCTTGTTCAGGTTCTCGTGTCCACTGGGGGAGGGGGTGAGGAAGGGGGTCAGTGCCCCGTGGATGCCATTCCCAGGGGCAAACACTGCTTGGGTTTTCGTTGTAGCTGCTGAAGGGCGACAGTGAGATGCAGGTGGATATGAGGGGGTGGTTAAGAGGAAGCCCTCTTCCTCTCTTCTCAAGGTTGCATTGAGAAAGAGGCTCCTGCCCCTCCCCCATCTCCAGGCCCCAGAGGGAATCCTTCCAATCCTGTCTACTCGGTCCTCTCCACGAAGGACTGTCTAACCTGACTCACCAGTGCTTAATAGTCACTGGATGACGTCATGATGCCTCCCAGCAGGAGCTAATTCCGTTCTTCCTCTTTTGCACCCTGCTACTCACCACAGGATGGAGTTTGTTAAGGTGATGAGAAGAAATGGTTGAGAAGGAACCTGAAAAGCTAGAGGGGGCTCCTTAACTTAGATGCAAACTTTGGGACCGTTTACCCCTCTGAGCCAGGTCTGAGAGGCTGTGTCACCCACGCTGTTGGTGGGTCCCCACATTAGCTTGGGAAACGCGGGGGCCACAGCTCTGTGGGCAGGGGTTCCTCACACCAATAACACAACCTCTCAAAAAACATATGTCCAGGCCCAGGTGGCCTATGCCATCCCCAGAACTGATGAATGGGTCAGAAAGCGACCTGGCTAGGGGGGTACCCACCTGGCAATATCCACATCGCCAGGGATCTTAGTGTCCAGAAACCACCTCCATATACCGGGGTCGCAGTAGTTTGGCAATACCAGGGAAGCACTCGCACACTGAATTACAGACAGCTAATTTGTCTTCATCTTACCAAGTGTGTGGTGGGTGACCATGGAAGATGGAGCACCATGGGAAATCAGCCTTGAAATGAGCTTGTAGAAGAACTAGCTGGACAGACCAGGGCAGACCTGGTGTGAAGGGTCAGAGAACAAGGGTACTTCTCTCTCTAGGTCTCCACAGCGCACTGCTAACAGAACTAAGCAGAAAGCAAGGGCAAAACAGCAAGGACCTGGAGAATTTCTGAGGTATATTTGTTCTTGTTTGAACATTCATTCACGGAGCGCCCACTAGCGTAGCACCTATGGTATTACACTGAAGCGCTCGCCTCTAAAGAGGATTCTGTAACTACTGGCGCAGTGGAGAAAAAGTGTAGCCTGGGGCTGGCTCCTTGGCCCTGGCTACACTTGAATGCACACCCCCGGCGCACATATGCACGCCACACATCCATGCACGCATGCATATCCGTGTGTACAACCAGTGCACCCACAAGAACACATTTACGTCCCTGTGTATGTATGGCTACAAACCTTTACATACAAATATAATTCACACTTATACATGTGTTTGTACTGTATGTGAACAAAGTCAGGACTCCCAAGAGAAAAGTGCTGGCTTTAACTGGTTGACGGAAATCTAAGTAGGTACACTCATCTCCTCTGAATGATAATGACTAGCAGAGACTGCCAGGCTGCTCCGTTCATCCTTTATATTCTGGTTAATTACAAGACATTTCCCCACTGTTGTAAAGGTTAGCGGAACACACGGTACACATTTAGCTGGAAGAATCTGGCGATACAAATGCCTCTGTAGTCTGCAGCATCAGTTATTGGGCCGAGCTAGTGGGAGACAAGGACCTGTTAGTGGAGGAGACAGGAGAGGGGGGCCTAACCTGCCTCCATGGCTCTGGGGACCGAGAAGTGCATGGAACCTATGGCTTCTTCTCATCCCAGTGGATTCAGACTTCCCTCCACAACAGTGAGCCCCTGCTCTCAGCCTGATCACTCGCCTTTCCCCATCACCTGGCTGTCCTGCTGGCCGGACCATCCCTTCATGTCCTCCCACATCCACATCCACACCAAATCCAGTTCATTCAGCCTCAGAAAATTTCTCCAGTGTGTATCCTTCTTTCAGTGTTCTAAGCCATTCCTGCCCTAAACTCATCCTGTTTTTTGCTTGGTTTTGGTTCACCGATTCACTGTCTCTGGCCCATCTTAAAAAATGTTGCAGACAGTCATCTTTTAAAAATGGCAATCTGGTTGCCACTTTGCAAACTTGGGTGTGCATCCTGCACTCTGCCCTTCCCTTGTCATTGAGGACCTGCCTCGCTGCCTTGGTCACCAGCCCTGCAGAAAGGCTTTTATTACTCACTGCCTTTTGCTGGACAAAGCCAGGTTCTGGCGCACTGGATCCTCATCTCACCGAGATTCATGCCAAAGATATAAAATTCGGTGCAGATGCCTAAGACCCAATGCTTCAAGCTGTAGACCTTCTAGCAGGTGGGGAAGCCCTTACTACAGAGAAGAACAGTGGGAAGAACAGTGGTTACAGAACAGAGCTGAAGATGCCTCAGAGTAACGAAAGATGAGGTATCTGTTGCCAGGTCAACTGACTTAAAGGATAAATATAAAACTATCACACCAGACTAGATCGGGATGCTGCCGACACAAATGAAGAGGCTGGGGTGGCACCACCACTGCTACTGCACTGGCACCCTTGATTGCCATGGAAGGCTTCAAGAAGATTAGCAAAGGTGCTAATCCGGCGGAAACCAGGAATGGTGCGAGGCTGCGTGTTGACGCTATAACTGCTGAACTAAGGAAGCAGCCCAAACCTGTGCTAAACCCCGGAGAGACTGCTCAGTTTGCCACAATGTCTAAAAATGGAGACAGAAATCAGCAACATCATTTCTGATGTAACCACAAAGATTCAAAGGGTGTGCTTACAATAGAGGACAGGAAAACACTGTATGATGAATCAGGAACTGAAGGCACAAAAGCTGACTAAGATTACATATCTCTCTGCTTGAATAATACATCAAAAGTGCAGAAACGGGGATTCCAGGATACTGATGCTTTCTGGTATCCACTCTTGAAATTGCCAATGCCCAGTGAAAGTCTTTGGTTATAACTGTTGAAAATGCCCTCAGTACACTCAATTGGAATAGGATGAAAATTGGCTTTTGGGTTATAAGAGCCCAAGCTCCAGGTTTTGGTGTCACAGAATGAACCCAACAAGGCTGATGCGCTGATGGTGTGGTATTTGGAAAAGTGAGCTGGACCCTCAATCTTTAAGAGGTTTTGCTTCATGACCTAGGAAAAACTGGAGAGGTTATTGTGACCAAAGGTGATGCCACATTCTTGCAAGGAAAAGGTGACAATATTGAAATTGAGAAACATAGTTAAGAAATCACTGAGCAGTTAGAATGTTACTGTTAGTGACCATGAAAAAGAAAAACTAAATGAACATCTGGCAAAACTTCAGATGGAGTAACTCTGCTGAAGATTGCTAGGACAGGTGACGTGGAAGACGATGAAAAAAAAATAGCCCCGGATGCTCTGAATGCCACAAGAGCTGCTGTTGACAAAAGAGTCACCTGGATGCTTTGCTTCAGTGCGTTCCAGGCTTGGATTCACTGATCCAGCTAAATGAAGAGCAAAAAATTGGTACAGAAATCATTCAAAGAACACTCAAAACTCTGGCAATGACCGTTGCTAAGAATGCAGGTGTTGAAGGATAACGGATAGTTGAGAAATTTTTGCAAACTTCCTCTGAAGCTGGTTATGCACCATGCTGGGCAATTTTTAAAATATGGTGGCAAAAGGAATCGTCAACCCAACTCAGATGGTAAGTAGTGCTCTGCTGGGAGATGCTGGTGCAGTTTTTCGGTTAACCACAGCAAAACTCGCTGTGCCGCTGGAATTGCTAAAGGAGAGGAGGACCCTGGCATGGTAGATGGGGGGCAGCATAGGGGGTGGTCCATGTTCTAATTCCTAGGAGCTATTTAAAAAAATTTTTATTTTATATTGGAATATAGTTGATTAACAATGTTGTGTTAGTTTCAGGTGTACAGCACACTGATTCAGTTATAACCCTAACCCTAACCCTGCTGTACAGCACAGGGAACTCTGCTCAACACTCTGTAATAACCTAAATGGGAAAAGAATTTGAGAAAGAATAGAGACATGCTTTGCTATTAATAATGGGCTGTGCAGCGGTCTTCATGAACAACTTCCCAGAAGTCAGCTGGAGGAGATGACCGGAAGAAGGATGTTTAAGGGAATCACTATGGCCATCAGTTATTGGTTTCAGTTGCCTTTGCAACACTTTCCTCTCTCCATGGAACATCCTTTCTCCTCTTTTCTGCTCGGCTACCTCTTGTTGGAAGGCCTCACTCAGAGGTACTTCTTCTCTGCCTCTCTGTCTACGTCTCAGGGAGTAGCCAGTGCCCTCTCCAGGCTTCATTCGGACCTCTGCTGAAGCCCTCATTACACGGGAACAGTAGGTCTGCTTCTAGCCATTTGCCTCATGAGCTCCTATGTCTGCATCCCGGGACTGACACAGAGCCAGGCATATAGAAGGTTTCCAATAAGGGTTTGATGACTGAGTGGATGAATGACCCACTGTTACAGAATATGTGCTTTGAATTAATTTCTGGCAAAAGGAAGGGGTTACACTTGAAGCCTGGTGAGGTGAGGGGCATCACATATGTGTTCACGCTCACTTTTCAGTTCAGGCCCACTTTTTTTTTTTTTAAGATTTTTTTTTTTTTATGTGTACCATTTTTTAAAGTTTTTATTGAATTTGTTACAATATTGCTTCTGTTTTACGTTTTGGTTTTTTGGCCGTGAGGCATGATCTTAGCTCCCCGACCAGGGATCGAACCCTGCATTGGAAGGTGAAGTCTTAACCACTGGACTGCCAGGGAAGTCCAGGCTCCCTCTTGATTGAATTCAGGAGCTTGGCTTTGTAGGTAGCCGGCCCTGGGCTCCTGAGACTTGCGCTGAGGCCCCCAGAGGCCCAAACCTGGAAATGAGGCTGGTGAGGGTCTGGCAGCTCAGAGGGCTGCCAAGAATAGGACAGATGAGTCAGAGCTTGAGCCATGGGACGCCTGAGGCATTTTTGCTCTGGCCCAGGACTGTGGATCAGTCACAAGTAAGAATGCAACATGTTCATGTGAAAAACAGAAGCTTCAGCTTGTTACCGTAAAAAGCCTCAAGCATCTCAGTAAATGCAAATTGTTCTCAAATGGAAAAGTTTATTTGGCAGACAATTGAGACTCAGCACAGGACTTCTAGAAAGCTGAATATCTTCCAGTCTCCTGGTCACCAGGGTTGACTTGACAAGACAGGCAGTAAGAAGGGACAGCGGGGCCAGGCTGGGATCTGGCTGAAGGGAGGGACGGACACTAGAAGATGATCATGAGGTCAGAGTGGCAGCAAAGGGAACACGTGTGAGAAGGAGCCAGAGCAGGCAGCTCGCTCTCACTGCACAAGGGTTTACCATATAACAAACAGGGGGTCAAGGTGACTGATGGGGTAGGAAGCTTCAAGTTTCCATTTCTTGAGTGACTGCCACGTGTCCAATATTTTACCAGGAGCTCCTTTAATTTCCAGTAGCCCTGTGGGGTTAATATTATTCCCTTTACAGACGAGGAAAGCAATAATGAGGGGTGCTATCCTCCCTGCCGGGGAAGCCCCTCACCCTTTGTGATCATTGGCCACTGTGGGCATTTAAAAAAAGGCTCTTCTCACTGTCATCCCTTTAGGCTTAAAAAAATAAAAACAGAAAGCAATTAACACTCTGAGAAGGACTGGAAATACTCCTCGCTTGGAGACAGAGGGATTGATTATACAACCTCAGTGGCCTTCCCAAACCAGAAGGAACCTTATAGAACCTCAAGTCCTGGGGTTGCCAGGTACAGGAACCTCTTTTAATCTGCTTAGGTAAATGCCTGCTACAAATAGGTCAAAGAGAGAATTCTCTGGTTGAAGCTGGGGTGGAAATCCCACCTGCTCAGCCCCTAGCAAAACAGCTGCTGGGAGAACCCCTTGGCCTCCAAGGAACCCACTTTAAAAGCCCACTCTCTTGGGCCCATATTACACACATGGGGAGGACTCGTGCCCTAAGAGGGGATTGGCGGCCTCAGCCTCTACTTTGCCTTTATCTCTAGACTAGACCTTTCTTCTCTGAGCTACAGAGGGACAGAATAGCCAAGTACTTATTAGATAGTCTCTCAACCCCTGATGTCCCAGAATCAATGTGTCTCAAGCAAAATCCATCCCCCACCTCCCTGTGCCAGAGGCTACCTTGGTGAATAGTACTTTTTTTTTTTTTTTTTTACTCACTTACTCAAGCTAGAAACCTAAGATGCACCCCTGACGCATTCATCTGCTTTCCCCATGCCCCCTCACTCCCAAATCTGATGAGTCCTGAGTCCAGGGTGGTTTGCCGTGGAAAGGTCCCTTCTGGTCTGTCTGCCCCTCTCCCTCTCCACCGCCTCTGCCCAAACTCTGGATCCTCATCATCCTCATTCTCCAGAACTCTTAACTGTCCCCCACTAGTTTCATTCTAGAGCAAAGATTTTTCTAGAATGAAAACATGATCACACCTTCCCTCTTGTTAAAACTTCTGATCACCTCTCATCACCATGGAACCAAGCCCAGCTTTACTGCAGCTTTTTACGACGAGACCCCCATCTCTCTTTCCGGCCTCGTGACCCCGCTACCCCTCACTGCTTTGTTTTTTTTTCTTGTTGTTTGTTTGTTTGTTTTTGCTGTACGTGGGCCTCTCACTGTTGTGGCCTCTCCCGTTGCGGAGCACAGGCTCCGGATGCGCAGGCTCAGCGGCCATGGCTCACGGGCCCAGCTGCTCCACGGCATGTGGGATCCTCCCGGACCGGGGCACGAACCCGTGTCCCCTGCATCGGCAGGCGGACTCTCAACCACTGCGCCACCAGGGAAGCCCCCCTCACTGCTTTGGACTGCAGACTTCGCTCTAGGTCGGCAAATGTTTTCTGTAAAAGGTCTGTGAGTAAATATACTAGGCTGTGGCCCATCGTCTCAGTTGCGAACTACCCAACTCTGGTAGCACTGAAGCAATTGTAGACAATCTGTCTATGAATGAGTGTAACTGAGTTCCAAGAAACCTTTACTTATGGACACTGAAATTTGAATTTCATGTAATTTTTTATATGCTATGAAATATTCTTCTTCTGATTTTTTTCCTCTAACTATTTAAACGTGTAAAACCCATTATTAGCTCAAGAACCATATGAAAACAGACAGAGCGCTAGGTCTGGCCTGCAGGCTACAGTTTGCTGACCTGTGCTCCAGACACACACAGATATTTGTGGTTCCTTAGACTTAGCACTTTCATGCAACCTCGCTTCAGCTCTACCTGGAATGCTTCTTTCCATTGTCTGTCTGGCATCTTTTTGAGACTCACACTGAAGTCACTGCCCTTTTTCGGCTCTCCTTAAATGTGTCCAGCAAAACGAAGTGCTTCTTTATCTCCAGTCCTAGAACCCTTCATCAGGTCTCAACTATAGCTCTTCTCATGTGGCAGAGAAGTTGTAGATTCATGTCTGTTCCTCTCTTGAACCCGCTCTCCTTGAGAGCAGAGACTGACCTCATTGTGTTCATCTTTCTGTGCTGTCACGTGGTAGTGTCACATGGGACACGCTTGTTAAATGAAATACAATTGCCCACCTTCCGACAGCCAGCTCCCAGCAAAGCAAGCCTAGAACTCAGATCCTCTGATACCACGTGGTATTGGTTAAAATTGTGTCTGGCTATGAACTGCCCTAAATTCTGATTGGATTGAGACAGGAATGGAACGTGCTGTGTTGTAGGTTAGTTAGATTTATTTTACTTTATTTATTTTAATTTTAGTTTTTGTTTCTCTGGGACAAAACATCCATCGATATAATCAGGAGCTGGTAATTGTTGGCTCTGAAGCGCCCTACATCCCTTGAGACTCTAATGCCATAAAGCTGAGTGTGGGTGAAGCTGACCCCGTGCTGATGACTCCCCAGGTCCATTCTTTAAACTTCTCCCCCCTGCTCTGTGCCCCCAGAGCCAGACCCCTGTGGACAGCTACAGAACAAGGGGGCCCACTGGTCAAACTGGTCAGTTTCCCAGGGCATAGAGCAGACTGTTCTCTTGTTGCTGGTTTCCTATTGGGTTGGCAGATGGGAGGCACAGCAGATGTGAGGGAGGGAGAAGGGCAAGATCTGGTTACAGATTCCTGGGGCCCCCTCCTCCTGCACTGGTTACTGATTCCCAGGCCCCCTCCTCTTGCACTGGTGACAGATTCCTGGGCCCCCTCCTCTTGCACTGGTTACTGATTCCCAGGCCCCTTCTTCTGCACTGGTTACTGATTCCCAGGCCCCCTCCTCTTGCGCTGGTGACAGATTCCTGGGCCCCCTTCTCCTGAACTGGTTACTGACTCCTGGGCCCCACTCCTGCACTGGTTACTGATTCCCAGGCCCCCTCTTCTGCACTGGTTACTGACCCCCAGGCCCCCTCCTCTTGCACTGGTGATACTTCCAGGTCCCTCCTCCTGCACTGGTTACTGATTCCCAGGCCCCCTCCTCTTGCACTGGTGACAGATTCCCAGGCCCCCTTCTCCTGTACTGGTTACTGATTCCCAGGCCCCCTCCTCTTGCACTCGTTACTGACTCCCAGGCCCCCTCCTTCTGCACTGGTGATATTTCCAGGTCCCTCTTCCTGCACTGGTGACAGATTCCCGGGCCCCCGTCTCCTGTACTGGTTACTGATTCCCAGGCCCCCTCCTCTTGCACTGGTTACTGACTCCCAGGCCCCCTCCTTCTGCACTGGTGATATTTCCAGGTCCCTCTTCCTGCACTGGTGACAGATTCCTGGGCCCCCTCCTGCACTGTAGTTTGGCAGTGGTCAGGCTCCTCAGCTGTGCCGGGCGGCCCCCCTTCAATGGCTCCGGCTCTTGCTCCTCTGTCCTTTGGCCCTTTCTCTACTGTGGTAACAGTCTCTCTGTCATTCATTCTCTGGGTAATCTCATTAAAAAGAAACCCTCTGGGGTTTCCTTTAATCTCACCTTTACCTCTGTAATTGGACCCTTCACTAAACCTTCTTCAGTTAAAGCCATGCAATAAGTATGCTCCTGTCTCCTACTAGACCCCTGACTGAAAGCTCTCTCTGCTACTCTTTGGGACTGAACTTGCAAGTAGCAAAACTTAGAATGGTCTTTAGTGGTTCCAAAGTTTTCCCTCCTTTAGAGCAATGGTTCTCATTCGGGGGTGATTTTGCACTCAGGGGACATTTGGCAAAGTCTAGAGACTTTTTGGTTGTCGTGTGTGTGTGTGTGTGTGTGTGTGTGTGTGTGTGTGTGGGTTGCTGGCATCTAGCATCTAGCGGGTAGAGGCCAGGGATGCCGCTAAACATCCTGCAGTGCGTGGGGCAGGTTCCCACAACAGAGGATCATCCAGACCACGATGTCAGTTGTGCAGAAGCTGAGAAACCCTGCATTATAAAGCTACCAACTGCGCTTCCAAATGATTATTGTAGACCCTTGCACTATATACCCTGAGTCTGGAAAACACGAGAGAAAGTTCACAGGGGAGAATCATGTATGAACACAACCAGTATACAGCGCAATATAGGATGCCAGACCCAGATGAACACGGCTGGGGTCCACGCTCAGACTCCGACATTCTATCGAGGAGACCTTGAGCCAGACACCTACCCTCTCTGCAACTCTCGCTCCTCATCTGTAAAATGGGGCTAGTAGTAGTACCTGCTTTACACAGTTGCTGTTAGGTCTGAATGAAGTAATACATGCCAAGTTCTTGAAACCCAGAGAGACACGCTGGCACACACGAGTGTGCAAATCCTGTTCTGGGCTGTCTTGGGAGGAGTCAGAGAGAGAATAAGAAAGGGCCTGCTTTTGAGAAGTTCATAACTAAAACCGCTTTTCAGATTGTGGGTTGTTCCCTGCTACAGACTTGTGAAATTGATTTCGAGGTTGCAACTAACATTAAAAATTGGAAAAGAAATTTTCAGGGTGCCTCACCCTTACTAAGGGTAAATACCACTTGGTGACATTTTCCTTTTAGTTCTGCAGATATATATGTGTGTCCTGGGTTGCGATGGAAAATGTATTTTTTTATGGTGGGGTGAGATTAACAAAACAAAGTTTAAAAGATACCAGTCAAATAGGAAAAGTGAGGCACCCAAAGCACCATGAGAAGGCCCTGTGATTTTGCAGAAAAACTCACATAGGGCTGCGAATGAATTCCAGCTTCACCATGTATAGGCTGTGTGATCTGTGCGTGTTGGGCAAGTTACACAACCTCTCTGAACCTCAGCTTCCTCAACTGAAATACGGAAATTAAAAACATATTCGCCACTGCACTGTGGGGAGGATCGAATGGGGCAACACGCATACACTGCCTAGTACAGGGCCTGGTGCACAGTAGGTGTGCAATGGATGTGTGCTCCTGACCTAGAGACTGCCTGACCTGGGTCCTCATTGGCAGAAAACCCTAATGTATGACCATGACAAATGGGCCCTCAGAAACTTGAAATATTAGAAACACCTGGTACCTATTTAATCAGATGAAACAATAACATTCATCTCTTCTTTCCTAGTTTGGAAAACACAGCAGAAAGATCCAGAGAGGTGCTTCACTCCCGCAAAGGCCCAACCTCCGCGGCAGGAAGAATGTATCCAGGAAAGTTCTCGGAGCCAGGCTCGTCAGACCAGGTTGGTTTCCTGTTTATTTTTAAACATATTTCAAGGGACTCCTGCTACCCAAGGCTAAGGAAATGAGGTTATTCATAAAAGATTCAGATTTTACAGGTAATGCTTCTACTCTCAGTGCTGCTTTTATCCCAGTGTCCAGCCTGAAAGCCTGGCCCTGGGGGGCCCCGCTCTGCCGGTGCCACCTCCCGGGTGGGCAGTGTGCTCAGAGCCTCCGAGGTGAGGCTTGGAGGGACGAGCTGCCAGGATCTCCTCCACTGGAGTCACTGCTCCCTCCTGACCCTCGGCGGTGATCACAGCTCACTCTTCCATCAGGCCTCTGTCCTACGCACACCAATATACCACACTCTCTCACTCACAACACAGCCCACCCTATTCCCCAGGGTCTTATATAGGGCCTTCTGCTTAACAGGTGTGCAATACAAGTTCACACTGAATCAACTAGAACCAACCTCAGTTTGTAATTGGTGATAGTAATGGCTTAATGAGCAACTCTGAAGCCAACCCTTGGTGTTTATCTCTCTGGATAAATTTTGTGTACTTTGAACAAACTCAAGGTTGAAAAGGAATGCTGTCATCTACTCCCACCCATCCATTGGATTTGGGGATCTCCTCTAGGCGTGGAGAGCTCCCTGCCTCGGGGTCAACCCACTCATTTTTATGGGCGGCTCTCGGGGTTAGGAAATTCTTCACGATTGGAGCAGAAATCTGCTTACCTGCAGTTTCCACCTGCCATTCTCGGTCTGATCTCTTGCCACCAGACAGCTCTTCACAGATGTGAGCACCTAAGCTAGAGAGCTCCCTAGAGCTGTTTTGCCTATTGTTTGTCAAACGTCTGTGTTCTACGTGAAATGAACAAGAGCTGAAATGCGGCAGCTCTCCCACTTTATACCAGGGTAGGCTAAACTCTGCCGGTTAAGTGGGTGGGCTCTGGATTCAAAAGGCAGGAGTTCAGCTGGTCTTGGGAAACTGCCTTCATTTCTCTGGGCCTCAGCTCTCTCGTCCATCAAATGGGGATGGTGTTTACTTCACAGGGTAATGAAGATTAAGTGAGATGACGCTGACCAAGCGCCTAGCACAGTGCCCGGCTCTCAGGAGGCCCTTGGCATAAACTAGTATGATTTGCCTGGCCTGAAGACGGGCAGCTCAGGGTACAGCATTCTGCACAATTTGAGAAGTGTCCCCCCTTGGACACCAGACCGCAACGGCAGATGTAGACACGCAGATATGCAGACCTCTGACTCTGCAAATGAGAGCAGGACAGCAGAGGCAACTGTACCCTGAAGACACACTGGACCCAGTCCGGGGACAAGATGGCCCCAGGCATCATCTCTGCCGCCCCCCGCCCCCCGAGGAAGCAGGGCAGCCCGGCCCCGCCTACCTTGGTACTGGGCGCTGAAGCCGCGCTGCCGGTGGTTGCCATCCGACGTGAAGTGCAGCCGTAGCCAGTTTTTGCTGCTGATGACGGGGGCCGGGAGGCTGGCTCCGGTGAACCTGTGGGGACAGGAAGACGGGGTCAGGGACCACAGCTGCCTGAGACTGGGCACCCGGGAGTCTCCCCACTGCCCATGTGTGCTGGGGCCTCCTCCCAGGCCTGGCAGAAGGGAAGGCCGTGCTGGCCCGGCCGCCCACCAGTAGCCTGCAGCCTGGGCTGCTGGAGCTGGTTCCCCCAGGGGCTCTTCCCACTGCTGAGTTGCTGAGAGGAGGGGGCGATCCTTCAGGCCTGGAACAGAGGCCTATTTCTCCACCTTCAGCAGAGGTCTAGCTGCCCAGGAAAGAGGTCCAGCCCTCCCAGCAGAGGCCCGTCACCCCAGCAGACGTCCACATACCCACCCCCAGCAGAGATTCAGATTCCCAGCAAAGGTCCAGCCCCAAGCAGGGGACCAGCCCAGCTCTCTGGCAGAGGTTCAGCTACCCCGAGCCAGCCCCTCAGGGACGCGAAGGAGTCAGGAGAAAGGGCTTAGGCAGCCACTACAGGCAGCACGGCCCTTCCCAGGTGTGAGAGCCTGTTTTGGGGTCACTAACTAGGCACTGGGTCTTCTCTGGCTCCTGCCCCTGTCTCTGCTCCTCCACAGGAGGCCAGCCCCCACTGCTGGGCCACCTCTCCACCCTTAGATTAGCCTTGTCTGCTTTCAGCCAGTCCGGCTCAGTGGCTGGGAAACCCGGATATCCCCGACCGTCGCCAGCCACTGCCCCAGCCTCTCGACCAGCTGTGTCCTGAGCCAGCTTTCAGGTCAATCAGATCTTTCCTCCTAGAGTTGCTCAGAGATCAAGAACCTTCCATGGCTCCCCAGTGCCCACGCAAGACTGGCTTTCCAAACTTTCCGCACTGTCCCCTGCTTGAACGGGACTCCGCTCAGTGCTGGCCCCTCTGCCACACCCAGGCGAAGCCCCGGATGCCCCTCGTCGCTCTGCTCGCTGTCCTGCACCCCAGAAGCCCCTCGCCCTTCTCTCCTCAACCCCACAGCCTCCAGCGGGCCGATGCCCAGTGTCTCTCCGCTCCTCCTACCTGCGTCTGAATCAGGGACCAAACCTCCTGATGTATCCCCTTTGGCACCATCGCTCCCACCCCGCCTGGACACCCTGCTTACATCGAAGCATTCCAAGCTTTCTCCTTTTCTATGCCTTTGCCTTTTCTGCCTGGAATGTACCCGCGCGTAACCCTCTCTCCTGCACCAGCCGTATCACTTGAGACACTTCGGGATGCCCTCAGATACCATGTCCCCAGGAAGGCCTTTCCTATTCTCCTTGGCTCTGAAGCCACACGGACTTGGGTTCAGATCAGGCTTCACCGCTTCCTACCAGTGTGACCTGGGGCCAGTTAGTTGATCTTTCTGAAAATGGAGGAAAAACACTGGCCCGGAGAGTCTGTGGGAGTACGTGAGAGGCCTTATGGGCAAAGAACCTATCCCAGTATCTGACACATATTAGCTCAATAAACATAATTTTCCTTTCCCCTCCTCTGTGATGCCACAGCATGTTATTAAAATTATAATTCATTTATCTAGGTGTGTGTCTCCCTGGGATAATGCCTCAAAGAGGGCAGTGCAGACTGGTGGGTGGGTGGGGGAGGGGAGAAGCTGGGACTCTAGAGGGATCGGCTGTGTTATCTTATGAAAATTACTTAAGTTCTCTGTAACTTCATCTGTAAAATGAAGATAATAATCCCTCTCTCAAAGGGCTGCCGGGATTGAATGAGATAATACACAAAAAAGACTTTAGCACGGTCTCTGGAAAATAGAAAGCTCTTGGTAAATGGCAGCTGCTATGTTATTCTCCATCATCTTTATTCTTCATCTCTGTACTAAGCACCTAGCACAATGCTCGATACAAAGCAGGTGTGTCAGGATTCCAGCAGAAAACAGATGGCTCGGTCATATGAGAATAATTCCAGTTGAATGAATGGCCTCGTCACCACCAGGGATGGGGCAGTATCCTGAGGCTGTTAACAGGGGTCTGGTTTCCACTCACAGGCCTGGAGAGGACATGGTTATCCCTGAAGGAGAGGGTAGCATAGAAAGGGCCACCATGCAGGACCCAGATCTTCAGTCAGTGGAGACGACAGCCGGTTTGTGAAAATCCCACAAGGAGGGAGAAAGACACACTCTCCTCCCTCCCCTCCCCTCCTCCAATCTACTGCTGAGGCTTCTGTTGATGTAGCCCAATTGGAAGCCAGAGGGCAAGGGAGCATATGGATGTAGTCTCACAAGTAAGTCTTCCTAAGCATGGAACAGGGTAGACAAGGGAGGGGAGATGATCTGGAGGGGTGAAAGGAAGAGATCCAGCATGGTGGGTCTCCATAAATGCGTATTAGACAAAGGAACTAACCAAGGAGCTTCTCACCCTGCAAAAATGAGTTTTTACTATAATGAAAATGCTGACATACACCAACCTCCAGGAATATCACCCATATTGCTATGGTAAGAGCTATTACAGAAACCAATTACTGTATTTCACCAGAGCCCATTTAAAATACTTTATTACAGGCAGAGTCATTTAAGTTTTCTAAGGAGCCACAAACAGTATTGTGGGTTTTTTCTTCCCCAGGCCAAATTCAATTCTATCTCAATGACAAAGCCTGGAGGCTATTTACATAAGGGAAGTAGAGATAGGGAGAAGTTACCTGAATAATTCAGAACCAAAGGCTGTTCACTGCAAAATGGAATGAGGGGAGGATGCTGGGGTCCCAAGAGCAGGAAGAGAGTAATGATCAAGGTTGTAAGCGGAAGTCAGAAAGTCGGTATTCTCCAGCCCTGGGATCTGCATTAACCCCCAATGCTACAGGCTGGAGGAGCCCGAAGGGACATCCCCTGCCTCCCATTTCTCCCACACCTTCACCTGCTCCCAGGAATCCTGATGATGACTGTTCATTCCCAAGGCTTAAACTCAGGGCCCTGTGCATCTTTACTCTGCACTACTCCTGCCTCCTTGGACATAAATGCACATTTGAGAGTTTTCTTGGCATCTGTCAGAGAATGGGAGGCTTAAATGTTGGAATCATCACATTAAACACTGCCATTGCGATGGTATCACGCCTCACGCAAAACTGTCCAATAAAAAGAACTACTGATGCCCACAACAACATGAATGATTCTCAGAAGCATTATGCTGAGTGATAAAAGAGTATATACTGTGTGAATCCCTTTATATGAAACTCTGGAAAAGACCAATCTACAGTGAGAGAAAGCACAGTGGCTGCCAAAGCTGGGGGTGAGAGGTACAGGTGGGGATTGCCTGGGAAGCAGTACAGGGGAACCTTCTGGGGTGATGAAAATGTTCTATATCTTGAATGAGATGGTGGTGATATGGCATATACACATTTGTCACAGCCCCCAGAACTGTACATTTAAAATGGGTAATTTTAGGGACTTCCCTGGTGGTGCAATGGTTAAGAATCCGCCTGCCAATGCAGGGGACATGGGTTTGAGCCCTGGTCCAGGAAGATCCCACATGCCGTGGAGCAACTAAGCCCGTGCGCCACAACTACTGAAGCCCGCACGCCTAGAGCCCGAGCTCTGCAACAACAGAAGCCACTGCAATGATAAGACCGCGCGCCACAACAAAGAGTAGCCCCCGCTCGCCCGTGCGCAGCAGCCAAGACCCAACGCAGAAAAATAAATAAATAAAATAAAATAAAATGGGTAATTTTATGTAAATTATACCTTAATAGAGTTAATTAAAAACAAATCTTCAGTAGCTCTAATCCTTAGAGTCAAAGACCATACCAGGGTCTACAAGCCTTAAAAAAGCCAGTGTGTCTTCACCTCTCATGTCTCCTCCTCTACTTATGCTTTACGCTCCAGCCACATGGGTCTCCATGCTGTTCAAAACTGGCCAGGACCAGACTCTTCCCTTTGAGAGTCTGCCTGCCGATGCAGGGGACATGGGTTCGTGCCCCGGTCCGGGAAGATCCCACATGCCGCGGAGCGGCTGGGCCCATGAGCCACGGCCACTGAGCCTGCGCATCCGGAGTCTGTGCTCCGCAAAGGGATAGGCCACAGCAGTGAGAGGCCTGCGTACCGCAAAAAAAAAAACCCCAAACCAAAAAACTGGCCAGGACCGCTCCTGCCTTGGGGCCTTTACACTTGACAGTTTCTTTGCCTGCTGGCTGGGTCTTCTCCCAGACTGCCACCTGGCTCACCCTCTCACTTTCTCAAAGCCCTTGGTCAAATGCCACCTTCCCAGTGAAGCCTTCCTGGTCTGACTTTTGCCTGCTTTCCCTCTCTGAGCACGTCACACAGACTTGCAGACAGACACACACACACATACCCCATTCTCTAGTCAAACAGAAGACCTATGTGAACTGGAACACACACTGCTTTTTAGTGCTTCTCTGCCTTTGAATGCTCATAATGCCTTTTCCCCTTGCACCACCTGGCTGCACAGAGAGGTTAAGAAACTTGCACAAGGTCACACAGCTATTAAGTGGCAGAAGTGGGATTCAAACCCAAACCATCCCACTCATGCTAGATAGAGCCTCTGTACTCGGGGGAGGCAGTGGAACAGTTTAGGCTGAATTCCATCCTGTTCCTTTACTTTCCCTCCCTCCGCCTCCTCCCAGGATCCTCTTTAATTTTACTCCCTGTTAGAATCATAATTAAAGAAGAGAAACACAAAGAGAGATTCTCCCCTTCAAATATTTCTGTCCATATTAATTTCACTATGGGGGGTCTGGGGAATTCCAAGTTCACCCAGGAAATTGCTGCGGCAGTACAACATAAAATGTATTTAAGCAATTATGCTCAATTCTTTTTTCTTTTTGGTAAATTGACTTCCGTTAAATGGGGCTTCCTTAATGGAATCTGGCTTGGGGAGAATAAAAAAAAAAATCACTCTCTTTAATGCATGTAGTTGATTCTGGAAAAAGTGGCTTTGAGTTCCTCTGCAGAAAGCTCTAAGCTCTGCTTTCAGTAATAGGAGAGCTCAGAGCAGACTGTGTGGATAGCATTTCTTCTTAAGAAGCTTCTCGTACAGTCAGGATGTTGGGGTGCTGA